ATGTATGTATGTATGTAATGCATGTAATGTATGTAATGTATGTAATGAATGTAATGTATGTAATGTATGTAGTAATGTATGTAATGTATGTAATGTATGTAATGTATGTAATGTATGTAATGTATGTAATGTATGTAATGTATGTAATGTATGTAATGTATGTAATGTATGTAATGTATGTAATGTATGTAATGTATGTAATGTATGTAATGTAGTAATGTATGTAATGTATGTAATGTATGTAATGTATGTAATGTATGTAATGTATGTAATGTATGTAATGTATGTAATGTATGTAATGTATGTATGTATGTATGTATGTATGTAATGTATGTAATGTATGTAATGTATGTAATGTATGTAATGATGTAATGTATGTTAAATGTATGTAATGTATTGTATGTATGTATGTAAGTATGTAATGTATGTATGGTATGTATGGTATGTATGGTAATGTATGTAATGTATGTAATGTATGTAATGTATGTAATGTATGTAATGTATGTAATGTATGTAATGTAATGTAATGTAATGTAATGTAATGTAATGTATGTAATGTTATGTATGTAATGTAATGTATGTAATGTAATGTATGTAATGTTATGTAATGTATGTAATGTAATGTAATGTATGTAATGTAATGTAATGTATGTAATGTAATGTAATGTATGTAATGTAATGTAATGTATGTAATGTAATGTAATGTATGTAATGTACTGTAATGTATGTAATGTAATGTAATGTATGTAATGTAATGTAATGTATGTAATGTAATGTAATGTATGTAATGTAATGTATGTAATGTAATGTAATGTATGTAATGTAATGTAATGTATGTAATGTAATGTAATGTATGTAATGTAATGTATGTATGTAATGTAATGTATGTATGTAATGTAATGTATGTATGTAATGTAATGTATGTATGTAATGTATGTATGTATGTAATGTAATGTATGTATGTAATGTAGTGTATGTATGTAATGTATGTATGTATGTAATGTAATGTATGTATGTAATGTAATGTATGTATGTAATGTATGTATGTATGTAATGTAATGTATGTATGTAATGTAATGTATGTATGTAATGTATGTATGTAATGTATGTATGTATGTAATGTATGTATGTATGTAATGTATGTATGTATGTAATGTAATGTATGTAATGTAATGTAATGTATGTAATGTAATGTAATGTAATGTAATGTATGTAATGTAATGTAATGTATGTAATGTAATGTAATGTATTAATGTATAAATGTATTAATGTATAAATGTATTAATGTATGTAATGTATTAATGTATGTATGTATGTATGTATGTATGTATGTATGTATGTATATGTATGTATGTATGTATGTATGTATATATCTACATACATATTTATTTATTTGCCTATCTATCTATTTATTTGTCTATTTCATATGGTACCCCCCTGAAGAACTAGCTTTTAGCATTTGGGAACCCCTTTTATGTTAAGCATGTTTGATACGCTCACCTGACCTGACTGCGAGGCTTGGCTGGTGTTCATGGAAGTGATTCAAGCTCTATGCTTTGCCATGAAACTCGTGGACTGGCCCAAGTTCTTCTTGCATCATCCACGGAATGGGTGCCCTGAGACTCTGACGTGAATCATGGGGGGAAACAGCGGGGAGCCTAGTGGGAAAACCAGCTTGAAATGGCCGACCGTGGAGGTTTTCTGGCGACAAAAACCTTGAAACTGATTCTGGCTGTGAAGGGAGTAGATGTTGACACAGAGTCGCCGCATTTTGCTGTAGATGTTGACCATGGATGGTGGGTTTTACCCCAAATTTGGTGGAATTTTTGGCAGGGAACCGAGGATTTGAGGTTCCCCCGTAATGACATGTATGACAGACACCTTTTTCAGATCCTATGGAGGTTGGACAGGCTAGGCAGCAGTCAGAGCGAGGATCTGATTCTTGGGAATGTTATAGTTATTACCCTCTGGTTATTTAACATAGATGATCCTAGTATGGTAACTATAACATTCCCATAAATTATGAACATAGCTATGATCTATTCCCATCATTTAACATAGTAACATAGCTATGGGAAAACGGCCCATAGAAATAGATGATAAAAATCATGATTCACCTCCTAGAAATGGATAAAAAAAGGTGATTTCCCAGTTCGCCGACGTGAAAAATCACCAACGGAAGCATGGAGAAACCAACGATCCTGGTAGCCGGTAGCCCCTTTTTTTGTTTCCGATCCAATGGGAGATTTGGAGGTCACCATGGGTCACGATGCTTTGGATGATGAGTTTGGTTCTCCGTTTTTTTGGGGAGAACTCCAATTCATATTATGCCATTTATGCCATTGAAAATTCCCTGCTTTCCAAAAAAAGTTCAAACCATTGATTCAGCAGGCGTGGATGGATGTGGACTGTGATGCAAGCTTCCTCATTACGGCGAGCCGTCGGCATTTTGCTCGTGTTTATCCAACCAGAACAATGGCTATGAGTCAAAAGCCTGGCTAGGTACCGCTAGGTACCCTGGAATAGCTGGTTTTGCACCATCCTCATATAGAGATTTCGGGTGCGTCTTGTGTTGATTCAGCCATGTCATGAATCCCGGACATTGTTTAGTGACAGACTCCCAAGACTGGTGATATTCTCTCCGGAAAAGGTTTCGAAGGCTGATGGAAAAAAATGCGACAACGAGAACATATTCCGTTATGGATATCTAATGATGTTGCTGACACCTGTCATATTTCCTGCCTGGATTTGATCTCATCCCTTCTTATCCCTTCTTTTTCAAAGGTGTGGCTTTGTGTGTTGAAAAAGCCTCTGCTGTTGATCCAAGCTAGCAGCTGAACAACGGCTATGTTTACCAGTCAAGAAGCCCCTCCAAAAGCACGCCCGCGCCACAAAATCTCCTGTTGTGTTTCACAGCGATTCACACCTTAATTTCCTGTGTTTCACATGGCAACATGGAGAAATCCATCGGTTTCTCTTTGCCCGACAAAGATGACCGTGAGGGGTAGATGGTTTTTGAGCCATCTTACCATCTGGTTATTTAACATAGCCATGGAAAGATCCACCATTTTTAATAGGTAAATCATCTATATCATCTATAAATGCACAATTTTCCATGGCTATGTTAGTCATAACCAGAGGGCATATTCTTCGTCCTTTTTCACCATTTTTTTTGCCACTATTAGATGAATGATTCATCACCCCGGATTGTTCATCATCATTTTTTGGGCGACTTTCCGGGGAGATGATCCAGGTCCAGGGCTAACATCACCTGGGTTTTCATCCATATCATATGGATTCATATGGGCTATGGCTGGTAAATGGATGTTTAATATCACTAAAATTATGGATAATAATTTATATAGGTTTGACCCATCCCAACATGTTTTTTCCATCAAAGATGCCCGATGGCCGGCACACATTAAGGCGATCTTGTCCGGCATCACACTGGTCCAGTGTATCGATGAAGCCTTGATGGTGCGGAAGGAACAGAAGCGTTGCATGGCATGCGCCATTTTTCAGGCCACCATCCTAACAAATCGGAAAAATGCCGGGAACATGTGGGGAACTCACCATGTATTGGAAATGATTGTGCTTTATGGGAGAAGTTAAATGGTGGACCTTGAGTTCTTGGCAAAGTCCACCATTTGTACATTGATTGCTGGCTTAATCTTAACCATCCTACTTACACCAAGTCTGAACTGAGTCTCAAAGAGAGATCGGAGGTCATCCCCGTCGACAGTTTTTTTTTGGGGCTGGGCAGGACTCCGTTTTCCAGTCCTAAAAAGCGAGATTTTCGATGAGTTTCCCGGAAATGGCTGTGGATCTCTATGGATCAATAGCAGGAATTTTTCCATGGCATTTCTAGCTTTGAACATCCATAAAAATCATCAACATCCGTCATTTTCCTGCAATTTTGATGCGATTTCGATCTTCACTCAGGGTACCTCTCGGTAACAGGCGCTGCCCATGCTGGTGATCCTTGTAGCGTGGTGGGTCTGGCTTTCTCTGGGCGAAGACGACAGCTCCTTAACGGCAGGGGTTACTTCGGGCTTAGGGTTTAGGGGATGGAAAGTCCCGACAAAAAGATGGGAAAATATGAGAAGATCCAAGGAATAGATCAAGAAATCGATAGACATTGAGGACCCAAATGACCTCAATCATTGCTGCCAAATATCTGGTCCATTTCCCAATGATTCCCCATTGACTTTCATAGTTTTGAAGGAGGTTGGCTCAACAGTCAACCTCATCCTGAACCTTGGTGGCCAACACCTGCAGATGGTAATTTTTGGCACAATCCAATTCTTGGGTTAAGATTGGGTAGCTGTGATCAAAAGTGATATGAATTCTGCAGGATCTTTGACCCTGACACTCTGGGTTATCATGGTTATCCCCATGGGAGCCTGAAAACTCATGGTCCTCCCATTCAGTCCATGAGGCTACTATCGCGCTGTTCCCATCTTGAGCCTCTTCATCAGCTTGTAGCCTGTCGACACGAAAAAATCGGGTGCAAATAGCTGGGGATTGACCAGCAAATTTCAGTGGATATATATTTTAGATAGGAAAAATATGGATCTAGGGTTTTTTTCCCCTTTAGATTTTCGGACCAAGCCATATTGGGACAATTCACAGGAGCCCCCCACAGTTTTTGTCTATATGATTCCCTTGCCATCCGGTAGTCAGCTTCATGGCTTGAACGTCCACCATTTGAAGTAAAGCTTCGTTGGGAGGGTGATTTTCCCAGCCTTTTCCATCATTTTCCAGCCTTTTCCCATCATTTTCCCAGCCTTTTCCCATGGATTTTTTCCAGCCGTCACAAGCTCAGGATGTGTTTCTGCTCAGCTTGCTGTTGGAGCTGGGCCGCGCTCCACCGTGCCAAGAATGGGGTCCCCTGTGCTGCTTGCTGCGGTCCCAGTGACGCCGAACCCAGATAGCCCTGGGCGCCAACCAACAGATGCGTTGGCTTTATAAATCTGTACAGCTCCAGTAATCAAACGTGACTGGGAAAATCCTCGAAGTACATATGGTGTTGTTTCAGAAAATGGGAAAATCCTCGTGACTGGGATATTCCATTGCTGTGTTTGATTACCAGAGGGTAAACCTCTTGCCTCTTGACTGGTTGGTGGGTGAATTTTGAGTAACAAATCGAACATGCGTGTTTTTGGACCCCCCCAATTCCCTTGAATGGCTGAATTATATTTCAGTAGAGCTGTGGTTGATTGTGAGGTGTCTCCGATTTTGGACCGATGTATTTGTGACTCCAACCAGTCTTCAACTAATTCGGAGGCGCGCACACATTGTACAGTGAACAGTCGCGTCTTGCCATTGGATGCTCCAGAACGACCGTTCAGGCATCAGGCTTGGCTAGCATCAATCCCGACTCGTAACTTGCTGGTAGTTTGGCTAGCTATATGGAGCTTCTGCCAACCGGCTTTTGTGAGCTCTCAGTTGGCCTTCTGCCACTTCCATGGCTGTGATGGTGTCTGGAAAACATAGGGGCCCGAAGGCAACGGAAGCGGTTGATCCAGTTGAAGTGACCCATTTTTGGTGACAACGAACTCATTGGGTGAGAAAAGAACCCCAACAAAAATGGTTTCAGCGGCCGGAACTTCAGGCCATCCAGCCGATGACCGCTCGGCAAAAGGGGACGCCAAAACAACCCACTCTGCGCTCGGCGGGATGGGTTTGTTGGGACCTTAATCGGGCGGCGCACAGCAAAGAGGATGGGAGGTGGGAGCAGGATGGATATAGATGTCCTCTGGTTTCTTCTCATAGAATATGCTTGGTTAAGGCTAAATCACAACTATGGTTGATTATAATCTTAGAAGGTTGTTGGTTAAGTTAAGTTAACTAACTGTTGGTTTGTTGATTGGTTGATGAGGTGAGGTGAACTCAACCATTTTCAAGACACGCTGGGCCAACATTTTCCCAGGCGGACATCATGGTGAGACCAGGCTCCTGGGATATATCATCCTCGAAAAAAAAGATGATTCCCCAGAAACCCAATACAGCCTGCAGGGCCACTAGAGGCCAGATAGTCAGACATAGTCCCAACATGTCCCAACGGTCCAAACAGAGACCTGGAGTTATTTGGCTGCGAAAGTTTTCGTCGCAACCAGTCAACAGGCTTCGTCAGGCTTCGTCAGGCTTCGGCCGCGGCCCACCTCCTTATCCGCTGCGATGAAAGGTAAAATCAATGACGGAAAGATGGGGAATGTTTGGAGAGTGAACTAATCCATGAACTCTATAGAATTCTGAGTAGCTACAGGGGCCTGTCAGTTTGTAGTCCAACAAAACGCTTAGTGGCCACTGGCGAATGTGACTCATTTGTCTTGTGACCAGCTTCTCCGAAGGGCAAAGAATGTAAAGTGCTGCCAGATTGGGAAGCATTTCGCCCAGATTGACCCGATGATGAAAAAAGAGTTTGACTATTTATAAGATCCTGTTTAGATCCTGTTTAGATCTGTAACTTGTTCTGTTTGTAACATGTTCTTAGCATACGAACTTGAAACGCGGCTGCTTAAAATCGCTTCAAAATCTTTCGCCACGGGTCGATGGCATCAACGCCGTGTACAGAGTCTGTCGATGCGACAGCGGCAACGGAACTGGCGAAAGCTGCGCTGTGGGAAATTGGAAAATGGCCACCTGCCATGGTGAAAAAATGGTGGTTTCATCCAATATATTGAATGATACACTGGGATATTTTTTCTATTTCATCATCAATTTTTTTTGGGATATATCTATATATGGTGAAAATTGTGGATCATCCCATCAATAATGGTGAGACACTGGGATGTCATGGGATATATATGATATATCTATATTAATGTACAATTATGTACATAGATAACATGAGCAGCAAGTAGAAAATGGATGGGATAGCCATTCTTTCAACCAATGAACGACCTTTTTTTCGAACCAATAGGTAGCGGACGTTAAATGATACGCCCCCGCAATTAATTATGGTAAAATTGTACATCAATTCCCCCATCCAGTATGGATACAAGTACATCACTGAATCCCCCATAAGCAACTCACTGGATCATCCAAGTTCCAGCACAAAAATCATCCATGGTATAGCATTGTAGCAACCCCACCTGATTTGGTGCTGAACATGTTTTCTTAATTCATATAGAATCACACCACCCATGAATTTTATGGAAAGCGAAAATCATCCCCCACTCATTAAGTTTGTACATGATTCAGTCCCACAGTAGAATCTGTCGTCCACATGAACAGTACGTCCCAGTTGGTTTCCGGGCCGCCGCGCAGTCCTTGTATCGTCGCGGGCGGCCCCCAAGACCCTCTTCGACTTTGACCAAGTCTTTACAGAGGCCTGGGAGTTTTTGCCACCGGGGTCATGTTTGGGCCATGTTTAGACCCAAAGGATACACAAAACATATGTTGAGATGGTATTATCATGTGAGATAATGTCACATACATGATAATGTTGAGATGATGTATGTTGATAATGTTGAGATATCAGTTTTTGCGCTCTTTATCATTTTTTCAAAATCACTAAATATGACATGTTATGGGTATTGAATATCTTCAGATGTCATGGCAATGGACTCAAAACCATGGACCCCCAAGATTGGATGGCTCCGTACATTAGCAGAACTGGCTAGAAATGGGGATGAAACTCTCAATGGGGATGTGAGTTTTTAAAGCACAATCAGCTCTCATCGAAAACTCCAACAGAATGCAATGAATAAAAAATATATATGTTTATATACGTATGTATATATATATCAAGCTATATGTAGATGTTTTAGAGCTTAAATCTATCAAAATACCATCAGTTCTGGATTCTAAAACCCGTCGTAAGATAACTGACTGAACCCCATTTAACAGCCGGATACTAAACTGGTTACGAGTTTGGGAACAATCCTGTATCTTTGAGGAATACTTAACATAAATAGGTAGTTCGAAAAAAATAAGTCCTAGCTTTGGGTTGTTCAATGGGTTTCCATTAATTCTTAACTGGTTAACCAGTTACCATCTGGTTATTTCACATGCATCCAGGTTAAGTAATCCCTTCCCCTAATATTAAACACCCACCAGAAACCATGGGTTGAAGTTGGGAGTGAAACTACATCTGCTACAAGAGCCCATCATGGTGCTGGCTGCAGTGCCCCCCCAGTGAAGGTTTTGTTGGTTTTAACCCCAGCAAGTCCTGTAGTTCAATATATATATTTATCTATCTATCTATTTGTGTCATGAAACGCAGTTATTGGAGTCCTAAACCACCTAAGTATGTAATATTTACTATAACCCCCAAAATTGGAATCATAAACCTACAAACGTAACGATTGAACCACGGTTAACTTCTGGCTTCTTCCATTCGGCAGGCGAATGGACAAGTACAGGTTCATGCTCATGACCGACAAGACATGTGGTCGGGGCAACCTGGAGGATGGTGGTATTTTGGGCCCTGCCAAGAGAGATTTAAGAGTGATTTGGACCAACAAAAAGATGGATTTCACCACCAAGAATTGGGAAATTCATGTGAGAGAAGCGACAGAAGTGGGATTTTCACACAATTTAAGCGACAAGATTTGGGAATTCATGTGATTTTTTTTCGGAGTAATGTCACGAGGATAATGCAGCAACATTTCACGGGGCTGCCAAAAAAATGCAAACTGGTTGCTTCCTGGCGATTTTTCGTCCATTTTTTCCAGGGCATGTAAAATGCCATGAAATAAACCATCCAGTTCTCGCTTGGGGTACTCTCATGACTATGGAAACCCCCATATTTCAACCTGCCATTTGATTTAACGGAGCCCCGGCTCTGTGGTTTGATGCCTTTGCTGAAGCTCCCAAGGTTTGTCAGAAACCAGTGAGTTTGATGGTCAGCAAATTCAGTGTTTTGATTGTAAAAAATGATCCGAGATAGGCCAAATCTTGGCATATCTTGGCCAGGACCTCGTTTTTTTGGTTGTTCAGATACGAGTTATATAAGTTATAGGCATGTGAAACATTTTTTGAGTCAAACTACAGATCCCTCCTTCGTTGAAATCTCACCACCACTAATGGGTCGGTGAGATTTCACCAAACATCGATGCGCTGAGTCGAGATTTTCCATGGTGGTTTTCCGATAGCAAACTCTCAAATTACCAAAGAGTAGAAATTATATATATATATATATATGAATATGATATAATTATATAATCATCAGATTCTATAGGCAAACATTGTATTGTATCAATGGATGATAGATTCCTATAGATTCCTATAGTTATTCTACAGTAATTCTACCATTCCTAGTTCCAAAAAAACATCCACCATTTATCGAGTTGTGGATCCATCTTTGGCACCGCTGATCCCCATGGTCCCCATGGTACGAGGTGTGCCATCTTTGGCGGCCAAGATGGTGACTTGACTGGGGAACGTTACGTTATGGGGCTATATCCAACCATAGATTTTGGAATCACAAGTATATATATATATGTATGTATCAAAATGGATCGTTTATAACTTTGATTACCATTCTTATGGGATGTAGCTGTATATGCATGTATAGCAACTGCTAGTTATTTATCCAACCATATTTTTTTGGGATATCATGGGATATAATGGGGGATTTGGCCATTGAATTACGAGGTTTTCATGATGATCAACTGTGAGATTTTCAGGTACTGTACCTGTTGAAGGTAAATCAAAAAAGACCGGGGCGCTAGGAAATTTAATTGCAGAGTATTTCACTGGAAACTGAGTCTTTACTTGGAATTCAGCTCTGTCTGAGTATGATTTATATCTCAATATTTTCATGAGATGATATCCATAATCTGATGAGAGGAGATGGAGATGAGAGGTGCTCCAAATACGTCTTGAAGTGATCAAATAGTTGATACGATGCCGGGTGGAAACCGCATATCCAAAACTTGGCTACGCGAATATCTCAACTTGTCATTGTTTCATTTGGAATGCTCACCGGACGATCTCATTTTCTTGGTTGTAATGGCGAAAGGGAAGGTCGGGAAGGTGGTGGTAAA